GGGGGGGGAGGGGAATCGTTTTGAGCATGTTAAGTGGGTTGAACTTACAGCTGGCCAAGTTTGGAGTTATCTTTAAAATGTCCACCCTTCAGTTCAGTGATCTTATTCTTCCTTATGTCCCTGTAGAGAAGAATACAGTACAGAGAAAAGTGGATGCATGGATGCATGGATGCATGGATGCATGGATGCATGGATGCATGGATGCATGGATAGTTTAAGGATTACCTGAATCAACATAGCCGAACGATATGCCAAACATGTCTGCAAACTTTTCCACCTTTTCCACAGCTCCTCTGAATTTAATGCTTATGTCTTTTCGTACATCTGCAACTTTTTTGTGCACCCACTTCTTCTCTTTACTGAACCAGCTTCTGAGACCTTTCGATTCATCCGTTGCTTTTGTTGGAAGTTTGATTTTTCCAGTAGGATCTAAAACCTTCTTTAGCTAAACGAATGTTCACAATATATACAAATATAGGTCACTTAAAGCGAAGAAAAGGTGATTATATAAACTAATAACTCGGTAGCGGCTACTTGTATAAGAAGAATTATACTAAGAAGAAAAACCACAACAACAACAACAAAAATAACGAACTGCCAGAACGTGACGTCTTGTTTTAGAAAATTATAGTCTATTTTCAATGACCCGGTAAGACGGATCGAACAAAAAAAAAAACAACAACAACACAAACAAATGAAGGGGAAGAGAAAAAAGAAGAACAATGTCAGAAGTAGAACATGGAAAGAATTAGAAGGTTAAAGAGAGAAACGAAGAAGAATAAGGCAAACGACAAGAAGGGGAAAAAAGAAGAGAAAACAAGAAGATTATGCAACAAAAAGGACCAACAGGATAAAAGAAGATTTATACTTAGATTTAGAAAAAGAAAGAACCAAACTAAACTCCAATTCTTTAACAAGTAAAAGAACAGAAAGCGAGGTAAAAATGCCCGGGGGGGGGGGGGGGCCCCCCCCGGGGGTGGGGGGGGGGGGTGCACCCCCCCCCCCCCCACCGGGTAAAATGAAGAATAACTAAAAAAAAGCAATATACAAAAAAAATAAATAAATAAACAAACAAACAACCAGTTTAAGCGTATCAAAGTTAATCATGGATATACTATGCTTCTTACTTTAAAGGATTTGCGTCTCGCTAAGTTTCTTTTGCCAAACCAAGAAAATTCTGGAATAGTTGGCAGTGCTACTGAGAATGTAGTAACGACAATGTTTGTTACTCCATCGATGGTCTCAAAGACATCTTCGACGATTTCATCGTATTCGACTTCTTCATCGACAGCAAGTTTTCCACTTATCGTTTTCTGAAAAAAATATCAAAAAAATCAATAACAACGAAATAGAAGTAAAATAGACAGCTTAGACTATATTTTCCTATTTCAGACAACGTGTTATTCTCTAGAGTGTCATTTCTTTGTCCCACGCTGTGATACAACAGCGAAAGCGTTGTAGCTTTGCTTAACAGTTTTAAATAAGAAGACATATTAGTATGGATACAACTTGAGCGAAGAATCAAATTTTCAAGAGAATGACACGTGGTCTGAAA